TCGACAAGGTTGAATATTATGTTCCAAAGTGACTTAACAGGCCTCGTTGGAATTGATGAAAGGATTGCAGATTTAGAATCACTAATGAACCAAGGCTCAAAAGATGTTCGAGTCATTGGAATTTGGGGTATGGGCGGTATGGGTAAGACAACTATCGCAACTGCAGTATTTAATCGATTCTGTTCTGAATATGAAGGATATTATTTTTTGGCAAATGTGAGAGAAGAATCAGAGAATCATGGGATTATCTATTTGAAGAATAAAATTCTTTCTATACTGCTCAAGGAAAATGATTTGCATATTGGTACACCAAATGGAATACCACCTTATGTTAAGAGAAGGCTTCTTCGAAAAAGAGTTCTTGTTGTTCTTGATGATATTAGTGATTCTGATCAACTGGAAAATTTAGTGGGAGCACTTGATTGCTTTGGATCGGGTAGCAGAATCATTATAACAACAAGGGATAGGCAAGTTCTAGCTAAAGGAGTTGATGAAATATACGAAGTTAAGCCTTTGATATTTGATGATGCTGCTCAACTTTTTATGTCAAATGCCTTTGGGAATAATTATCTTGACATGGAGTGGATTGAATTATCAAGGAAGGTGATCAGTTATGCTAAAGGCGTTCCATTGGCTTTGAAGGTTTTGGGTTCCTTTCTTTATGGCAAAAGCAAGGAAGAATGGGAGAGCCAACTTGAGAAGCTCAACAAAATGCCACATGCAAAGATTCAGGATGTGATGAGATTGAGTTATGATAAACTTGATAGGGAAGAGAAGAATATTTTCTTGTATATTGCTTGTTTCCTCAAAGGATATAAATCACGGCAAGTAATACTTTTTCTAAATGCTTGTGGTTTTTCAACAATTATTGGGTTAAAAGTCCTTGAAGACAAAGCTCTTATCACTGAAATCAAAGGATCCAACGCAGGAGCATCAAAAATCTTTATGCATGATTTGATAGAGGAAATGGGTTGGGAGATTGTTCGTGAAGAATCAATTCATGATCCTGGAAAACACAGTCGGTTATGGGATGCTAATGATATGTGTCGAGTATTGGAACATAATCTGGTAAAATTTTAACTTGATAATTGTATTCTCCCAAATTATCTTCTTGCTTTCCCCTTATATGCTTACTTTTGCTTTCCAGGGGACTAAAGCCATTCAAAGCATAACTTCGAATGTGACAAAAATTGAAGAGCTCTGCTTAACTCCCCAGGTCTTTGCCGAGATGTCTGAGCTAAAACTTCTTAGTTTTCCTATGCCTTCCTTGTGGCCTTGAATCTTTGCCGTATGAACTGCGATTTCTTCATTGCGGTTGCTGTCCTTTAAAATCCTTACCTTCCACATTCCGTCCAGAAAGTCTCGTTGAACTTAACATGACTTGGAATCGTGTGGAAAAACTTTGGGATGGAGTTCTGGTACGTATCAATCTACATCATCATAAATAAACAAACATGGTATAGTTTTTCTTACAGTGTCTCTTGTGAAAAGAAAAGCTCATACAATGTCTGCTTCTTATGAATATTGCAGCGTCTTGTGAATTTGAAGAAGATTGACCTCAGTAACTCCAAGCATCTGTTGGAACTCCCAGATTTTTCTATGGCCAGAAACCTTCAAGAAGTTGTACTCTACAACTGTAAAAGCTTGCGTAAGGTTCATCCTTCTATTTTAACCATCCACAAGCTTGTGAATTTGAACCTATCGTATTGCAAATCACTTACCAGCCTTAGAAGTGATGTACATTTGAGATCCCTGAGTAGTCTTTCTCTTGGTGAATGCTCAAGGCTCAGGGAATTCTCAGTGACATCAGAGAATATGAGGAACTTGGGTTTGGCAGGCACAGCTATCAATGAATTGCCTTCATCCATCAGGCTTCTAAACAAACTTGAAACATTCGACTTACATCGTTGCAAAAAGCTTAAGAATCTTCCAAACAAGTCAGCTAACCTAAGTTCTCTTCGAGAACTTTGGATATATGGTTGCGTGCAGATTGATGCCTCGAATTTACGCTTCCTACTTGATGGCTCAAGATTCTTAGAAACATTGGTACTGCAAGATTGTCATAATTTATTTGAACTTCCAGACACCATCAGATTCTTATCCTCATTGAAACATTTATCCCTAAATGAAACTGATATTAAGAGGTTGCCTGCAAGCATCAAGCATCTTCCACAACTTGAAAAACTTGATTTGAGTAATTGTAGGAAGCTTCAGTCTTTGCCTCATCTTCCACTAACCGTTAAAGAACTATATCTCACTAACTGCACTTCCCTGGAGAGAGTCATGTTTTCTTCAATGGCTTCTGATCATCTGAAGGGAAAAATGAGATATAGCACTAGTTTCCAGAATTGCGTGAACTTGGATGCACATTCACTCAGAGCTATAGAAGTAAATTCTCATGTCAACATTAAGAGATTGGCCATTGAACATTTATCAACTCTAGAAAAAAGTAAGATCCTAGGTGGTCCAGTTGATGTCATTTATCCAGGAAGCAATGTTCCGGAGTGGTTCACTAACAGGACAAGGCAGTCATCAGTAACTATTGACTTATCTTCTGCTCCACCTTCCATGTTCGTGGGTTTCATTTTTTGTGTGGTTGTCTGTAAGTTTCCATCAGATGACAAGAACCTTGTCGGATGTGACTGCTACATGGAAATTAATGGTAAAAGAGACAAGAATATGGGTGCTTGGACTAGCATATCTGCTTGTGAATTTATGTCTGATCATGTATGTCTGTGGTATGATGAACGATGTTGTCTGAAAACTAATGAAAGCAAGGAGGAAGATGAAAGTAATCGCAAGAAAATATCATTTGAGTTCTTTGCACAAACTGGGGATATTTGGAAGAAGAGCAAGGATATTGTGATAAAAGAGTGTGGAGTCTGCCCCATATATGCCTCAGAATATGATAAATTCATTGAGCAAATGGAGTTGGAGTTGAAATCAGAGCTTAAAGCAATTGCAATAGGAGTTAGTGGAAGCTTTGATGAAAAGAAAATTGAGGAGACAGTCCCTTTTGTTAAAAAATCCAATCGATTTATCTTTCCTCCACTTGCAAATGGAACTTGGAAGAAAGCAACACAAGGCTTAAAAGATCTCATCAAATTGTGACTACTTGAAAGGCATCAGACTCTAGACTCTTCTGAAGTTCTCTTTCTGTGAAGTTTTAAAGTGTATGACATGAGGTAATTTTCTTTTTGTTCTATTTAGATAGTGACAACCCATTCTTTGTGTAATACATAATACTTCGTAGATGTAAAGGGGACAAACTTCAGATGATGTATTCAGAAGACTCCCCGTTTTCACTTTGTCTCTCTTTTACCTTGACTTTGGATTCATTATGAACAACTTGGCTGTTATTCTTAAGCATTGAATAACACTCTTTAAAGTTCAGAATGGTAACAGAAACTTAGGATTGGAATTTCATTAATGACAGAGATCAAAAAGTTTGAGAATATATAAGGTTGCAGTGCATATGCATGGGGATCCTCTGAAGTTGAGGATCCCCTGCTTTCATTTCATTTTTTTAGCTTTTATTTAATAAGATGAAATTGAAACACAATAACATCAACTGAGGATGAAGTGATGACAAAGTAGACTTGTGCAAAATGAAAAAAAAAAAAAAAAAACTGCACACTGGTCCTCAATATGGGATCCTCTGCTATAAATGAAGGTGTGATATTTGCGCTTTGGGGAAACTGCTGCTGCGTGATTTGCGTTGTGAATGGAGTGACCAAACTACGAATAAAGGTAAAGTTTTCTCTGTTTGAGAAGGTTACAAACTTCAATGTCTCAGGTAGTGGGATATCCGATAACTTGTCTGCATCGCAACCTAGAAAACCCAATATCCCAAATTACATTCTCAAACTGGCTTGTTCTGTAAAAACATAAAAAAAAAAAAAAAAAAAAAAAAAGAAGAAGAACAGGGTGTTAGTTAAATCAAAGTATCAAACACCCTTTGTGCCAAGAAAATTAGTTAAATCAAAGTATCAAACACCCTTTTGTGCCAAGAAAATCCTTTTTGACCGGGCAATAAAACAGCAGTCTCAGACCAAAATGAAATTGAACCGTGAAAACTGTATATAATAGTTTGAAGAGACGGAAAAATAATTAAGAAGTAGGTCGAGCTGACATGGATTTATATATCAGAGGCGTATATGGACGCAATTGTAATTACAGTATAATCACCTGTTTTAAAGATAAGCATGTTTTCATCATTTTTATGTTTCTGAATCGTTACTTCTTATTGTTTTTTAATCTTATACTACCTCCGGTCCTTAATATAAGACCCTGTTTGATTTTTATTTTGGTCCTAAATATAAGACCCCAATCCACTTTGTCTATTATACTTACTCAATTTTTTCCAAGATAAACCTTCTAATAATTATAGTTCTAGTTAATACACTTGATTAGCAAGGATATTTTGGGAAAGACAACACCTATTTAGGACAAATAACTAGCTCAACTTACTTTCTTAATCTTCTCAAATTAGTCAACTGGCTCTTATAATTAGAACCGGAGGTAGTACAATCACATCTAAATATCTAAATTTATTACAGTACTTTAATGCATCTTTTTGTCTGTTACAACAAAAAGAAATTCAATAATATTATCTTTAACAGAGGCGGAGTAGTTGAATTTGTGACCAGTGTTTAACCTTTTAATTTGTTCCATTTTCTTAATTCCCGCCTAACTTCAGGTACGCTAATTGATTCCTTGTAGTCTAGTAGAATTAATCTTGGTGTTCCATTGTCGCTATTAAATTCCGTTCTTTATCAATATCTAATTCTTGCATCTTATATCAGAATTTTATTCATGTGGATCATATGCAGCATCCTAATTTTTTCTCTCTCAATCTGCTTAGTTGAATCCAATTCTTCAAGATCCAACAGAATGAAGTTGCGGCTGTAATAATATAATCGTCACTCTCTCATCATCTTAGCCTTAAACAATAAAGAAAGGTTAAAATAACCCATGCAATTTGGACTCCTAGAATAGAATTAAATCTCAATCAAAGAAGAGTCTTCAGTTAATTGTATGTACGCCAGTACAACGGAAAGAGTAACGTATCAAGGGCAGATCATTCAAAACTGAAAATCATTTATTCAAATTCAACGAAGTAAGCTGTGATATTTGCGCTTTCGAGACGGCGTTTGCATTGTATCAGAGCTAGGATGTGGATGCAATGGCAATCGAATTTGTTGAATGTAATTTTGATATTCAAGTAGTGCTGATGTGGGACATACCCCACACTCTTTGATCTCTCCTCTTATTAATGCAGCAACTGTGAATTGAATTTGAAGCAATGGGATATAAGTGTCGCTGTGAGCATCCCTTTTCTTCTCTTCAATTTTCCTTTGTAGTTCTCCACAAGAACATGCGTCGTACCAAATGACAACATGATCTGACAATAGAGGATCATAGATAAACCCACCTTCATACGTGCAAGCATATTGACCATCAATAAAGCATTTGGCGTCAACTGCTGCCATCGGTGGTGACTTCAAAATGACGACGCAGAAAATGAAACAGCCATCCCAAGGTTGTGGAATAGAACGGAGATCCACAGTTATGACAGATGACCGTATAGACCTATACATGAACCAATCTGGAACTCTTTCTCCTGGATATTCCACATAAGCCCCGCAACAAGTGGCTTTACTTATCTCGTGTACCACTTTTGCCTCGCAAGCTTTGATTGATTGTTGATCCAACTTCATGCAACTAGTGAAAGCAAAGCACAGTTTTGTTTGATCTTCTTTTTGTTCTCCATCTTCTCTCATTAAAGGTAACTGTAGGGACACAAGGGATAGGCAGTCCCTGGCAGATAGGTCTAAGATAGAGGGAGGTAGTTCTGGTAGGGACCGAAGCCTTTCGCATCTATTTACGTTAAGTTCTTTCAGGCTCGAAAGGTGTTTGATGCTTGAAGGCAATGTCTCTATATTACTCCTTGACAAACTTAACGTACGCAATGACGATAACAAGCTGATGTTATCAGGAACTTCAAATGATTCACTACAATCATTTAGATATAGAACTTCCAAAGCACGCATCTCATCAAATATGGAAAGTAGATTTGATGCTACCTTATTACATCCGTTAGCATCAAGACGTCCGAGGTTGCGCAAGTCAACCAATTTGTAGGGAAGACTTTTCACACTTTTGCATTCGTCTAGAAACAATGAACCAATTTTGCTGAGACGTCCACTTGATGAGCACAACTCGTCATTGATGGCCGTTCCCGAAAGTATCAATTCAAACCCACTGTTTTCTGAGGTCACTGAAAATTTGTTCAATCTTGAGCATTCTGTTAGGTCCAGATACTCTAGTGATTGGAGATGGGTATTGCTTGTAAGGTTGGTAAGGGCTTCACAACCTCTTAGTCTTAAATAACAAAGACTATTGAGGGATAAAATAGATGGATGAACACCCTGCAATTTTGAACAATCATTGAGATTCACTTCTGCAAGATGTATTGCCTTGGAAAAATTTGGGAGCTCAATCAAGTCTTTTGATCCATGGAGGTTAATTCCACGTAAATTCACGAGATTCTGTAAAAATATAGATTACATGGTGAGATTGGCAGCCAAATTAAAGCAAAAATGAATTATTCTCTCTGATCAGTGTGACATAAGAACTCGTTAAGTATTTTACTAGGAAAATTAGTTGACGTCAAAAAAATTACACTAAATCAATCATCTTTATAAATAAAGGTCATGGAGTTTAGTGTGATAGGGAAAGACAATTGCCATTTTTTAAAATGGGTTGTCAATGTTTCATTAAATTTTCTAAGAGATTTTGTATTAAGGACTTATGGGTAGAAACTTATAAATAAGGCTAAAAAGAGGCTCCAACAAAATAAAGATTTTCCAAATAGTGTACTAATAATATTTTCTACGAATAAAATATAAAATTTACCTGCACTCCATCCCAAAGTTTTGTCAAATTGCTATGAGGCATTATAATTTGAACAAGATTTTCAATCTCGAATTTTGCTGGCAAGGCCTTTAAAGGGTATCCCACCCAATGCAAGAGTCTGAGATTTTTTGGTAAAAACTCTATACCACAGGGAAAGTTTAACTTGTTCCTGAACTGATAATCCAAATTTCTATCAAAACATAGAAACTTTAGATTGGGCATTGAACGGAAAGCGTTTTTATTGAAGCACATCTCTTCAACTTCGGAAAGGTTCAGAATTATGCCTTCGGTAGCTGCACTTCCCTAACCAAAAAAAATAAAATAATAATAATAATAATAATAATAATAATAGTAATAAAATTATTATATAAATCAGATAGGAATTTGAAATTCAACAATTTTTTTTAAAATGCAAAAATTTCACTCTTACCATGTTTTTCTTCACTATGTCAGAATTTTTCTTGGAAATCCATAATATATTGCACCTTTTAGGATCATTTAACGATTCTTCACGAACAATTTGTTGACCCATTTCTTTTATCAAATGGTGCATACATATTTTTCTTTCATGAATTTCTCCTGATATTCTTCTTTCATGAATTTCTAAAAGAGCTTTATCTTCAAGTCTCATCAATCCAATCTCAGTTGAATAACCACATGCATCTAACAAATTTTTTATATCTTCAGCATCACAATAATTGAGGAGACATGAGATATGCAAGAAAATACTTTTCTCTTCAGAATCAAGTTCTTCAAGACTCAATTTGAGGATATCATTAATTTTTGGACAAGGTAATTTTGTAAGCTTTTCCAATTGGCTCTGCCATGCTTCTTGATTTTTGCCATACAAAAAGGAACCTAAAACTTTTAAGGCCAATGGATTTCCACCTGCATAGTGAGTAATTTTTTCTACCAGCTCTCGTATCTTTGGATCACCATCATAGTGTTTTTTGAAGGCATTTAAGGAGAAAAGTTGAAAAGCCTCATCAGAATTCAAAGCCTCAAGCTGATATATATCATCTACTTCCTTACCAAAAACTTGCTTATCTCTGGTTGTTATCAATATTTTACTACCTGGTCCAAACCAATCATGTTTTCCTGCTAATTTTTCTAATTGTTCAAGATCATCAACATCATCAAGAACAACGAAACTTTTTTTGCGGCTAAGTCTCCTCATGGCATAAGAAGATATTGCACCATCAACCATGTCAATGTGAGATTCTTTATCCCCTAATAAGTTCAAAATGAGCTTTTCCCTCAAAGCATCTATTCCACATTTCTTTGATTCTTCCCTTACATTAGCCAAAAAGTAAGACCCTTCATATCCAAAACGCAATTTGCTAAACAATGCTTTTGCAAGAGTCGTTTTGCCCATACCACCCATAGCCCAAATGCCAATAAATCGCACATCATCATTTGAATCTTTTTCTAACAATGATTCTACATCTGCCATTCTTTTCTGAATTCCGATCAAATCTTTTAGATAATCTTCACTTTGATAATTACAGCCTAACTTGTGTATAACACATTTCACTATTTCTTTAATTAGCTCCGCTTCATCCCTGCACACCATTACAAAATCAAAATTCAAAACGCACCAAACTTAATACCGCATTGATTGTCTATTCAAATTTTTGAACTATTCCTAATGAAAGGCAACTTTGAAGAGTTGGCAAAAAAAATTCTATAATAATTTTTTTGAGAAATATTACTAACATTAGATGGCTTAAACTAGATATATAAAGTTTCATCTTCATTTCATGACCATTAATGATTCGTTACGACAATAGTAAGACAGGGATTCAGATAAAAATATCGCAACAGTAAAGTTGATGGGCCTGGTAGACTAACCAACTTCCATCAGATGCCTCAAAAATTAATTTAATTCAGCCCCATGTATGGAAGAACATGATAAGAGAAAGATCAAAAGCACATTAATTGTTACCTATCGAAGCTACAATGCCAACCAGATAAATTGGCAGCATGAGTGAGAGCCTTCCTCCACATGTGTAGATGTTGGTTGTTGATGCTTTTAAGCTCATGTTCTTCAAATGCTTTCTGGTAACTCCCAGACTGCTTCCTCACATGTGAAGGATCTACTCTATAGAACACTGGCATAACAAGCTGGTGACCTTGATTTTTGGAGCAGTCTAATATTTTTGAAAGCTCCTTCAAGGTCCACGTGGAAGATGCATAGTTTTTTGAGAAGATCACAAGGAAGAGAGTTGAATCTTCGATGGCTTTCTCAAGAGATGGCCATACCTCATCTCCTTTCTCAAGTCTGTAGTCGATGTATGTATCTACATGGTTTCTACGAAGTGCTTCATGAAGGTGGCTAGTGAAATTGAAGCGGGTGTCCTCACCTCTAAAGCTAATAAAAACATCATATTTCTTTGGAGATTGAGAAGATGGAGTAGAGGAAGAAGACGAAGCCATATCAGATTGCTTTGCTTTGATACGCAAAAGAGAATTGGGACTGCTTTCAATTCAGATCTAAGTATTGAATGATTTGTAATAGGAAACAGAGCGGCCTAAGGGGAAGATAAGATTTTAGTGGAGGAGATTGGGTCAACCAAGTCAAAATGAATAATAATAATTATAAATTATAAATAAAAGTAAAGTTAACTTTTAAAGATTGAGTATGTGTTTGGATTAACAGCGGAGAAGTAACTTTTTTTTTTTAAAATAAAAGTTAGATAGTGTAATATGATTTATATTTAGATTAGTTTTTTTTTTAAATCTGACTTTTGAAAACTTGTTTAGATAATTATTCGAAAAGTAAATTTAGATGAACATGACTGAAAAGGATATAAATCTTATTCGATAATACATATACTCCTCTGGTCCTTAATGAAATATCAATTTACCTAATTTGAAAAGATTAAAAAAGCTAAATAAATTATTTAATTATAATATACATGACAGGATCTTTCTAAAATATTTTTGTGTAACTGTATCAGTTTAAAAGTTCAGCAAATTAGTTTGAGAAAAAATTATAAATGTGAAACATAAAATGAAAAACATCTCTCATTGAGGATCAAAATCCACTTTCAAATTAGGCCTTATATTTAAAACTGGATAAGTATATTATATGTATATATTGTGATGTTTAAGAGAAATATTAAAATTTAAATTATAAAAAATAAACATTTTAAAAGAGCATTAAGTATGGTCACAGTACACATCAATCCAAATCATGGACAAAAGCTGGAAATTTCAGCTTACAATTTAAGCTGCTTTTATTCCAAAAGTTAAATAGGCAAAAAAAGAAGAAGAAGAAAAGCTTATTCAAACATGTCAAAATCCTCCAACGTACGTTTTCCCCTTTTGAATGTGTGATTAGCCACCAAATCGCTGTTCCAAACGAAGCCTCTCAAATTTGAAAGAAAGGCGGTCCTACCAATTTGGAATTTTCATGTGCTATTAGTGTGCGGAAAAGACAGCACTAAATGAAAAACATATAATAGTCCATAGGGAAAGTAAGTCAATGGCGTGTGAAATTGAAGCGGGTGTCCCCACCGCTAGAGCTAATGAAAACATCGCATTTCTTTAGCAATTAACTTTTACAAAAGTTAAATAAATTAGATAAAAATTAGATAGTGTAATATAATTTATATTTAAATTAGTTTTTAAAAAAATCATTTTGATAAAAATTTGTTTAAATGAAGATTTAAAATAAAGAAAAAAGAAGTGAAAATGAAGAAGTTAAAAATTAAAAGCGAGAAGCAATTACATCTTACAACAAAAGTATGAGATTGATTAATGCAGAAGTCCATCAAAGTTAATTAATGCAGAGAAATCGGGCGATGCTAGAGTTTGATCTACTGAAAAATTTCTTCTCCTCTCTCTATTTCTCACCTACATCTCCAAACAAAAACATGAAGCTCTCACTAGTAAAAATAGCTTTAATCAGTGTCTTTGTGAAGTATGTTTGGGAACTACGATATTAATTGACAGGGCCGGCCACGTGTAAATAACCCTAATTTTCTACCAGAGACTGATTGATTTAAGCTGGATAAGCTTCCAGAATTACATTGCCCCAAATTACCTAAAAACCCTTGGTATTATTATACACGTATGTTAACGTGAACATCGCTGCACATCAAAACTTCGTTTGCGATATTAATGGGTGTTGTTGGCCATTGTCATTGCGAAGTTCTGTTGCATATTCAAACGATATGTGAAACTGATAATATTTTTGGAAATGATTTGAAAGGTTTACAAGTTTTTTCTTTTATATTATCAATAATAATAGAAATAAGTTAAAAGTTGCCAGCCACATTTTATTCCTGATTCTTGAAGCTGCTAATTTATCTGGATTTCATTCATCAAAGTGTGGGTAATTTCTTCTCTTTGCCAAGTTTACCTTCTACATTCAACTCAAGAAATGAGAAGTTCTTAAGGAGAAAACACACAATCTTCTTCATTTTCTTCCTAATAATATCACTTAATAACAAGTTAATCGACGTGGAAATTTCACTAGTATTCGTCAGTCAGATCGCTTATTAAATGGCCTTGTTGCAGTATGGTTATCATAATCAATATTAATTTATCAATAATCAACAAATGCTACTGAAAGTTATACTGTTCATGAAACTGTAAAACATTGTGGCTTCTCATTTCAGTGAAATGCAAGGGCTGAGATCTATTTATATCCAGACAACTAATTCCAATAATAGTGCGAATGCCAGTTACCTTTTGAGTTTCTCCATTCACTCCCAAGTTCCCGTCCATAGGACCTATTTTACAAACGTAGCTGCACAGAACTATTTCTTCTATGCTAATCTGAGGCAATATTACTAGATTTTTTCAAATAACAGGAGGGAATAGAGAATTTAATTCAACTAATAATCTAAATTTGAACCTCAAAGCATGCACCTTACATCCTGGCAAGAGGCAAGTACTAGTTGGAACCAGAGAAAAGGAAAATTCACATTATACTATGCGTCCCCTGTGCTACTAAATATATAGATATATATATATATATCTGAGTATTTACTCATCAGGTTCAGAAAAATTCAATGCCTATACAGTTAAGGGAAATGGTTTACTTGGTGGGGAAGAATCTCATAACATCACGACTAATTTACTAAGGGAATGGCTAATGTTCAAAATAGGACAGCTTAAAAGCTTATATTGTAAGACGCATGCAAGTAATGGGCTGCACTATAACTAAGACGCCCAAAGACTAGAACCAATGAATATACTTAAAATTGCACGATGAGGAGCAAAACGCAAACCCAGAAGCAGGAGAAAATTGGGTATAAGTAAAAGGCCGGCTGTAAACAGTTCATCTCCCAATTCTTTCTCGTGTTTACTTTCTATCCATACAGGAAAAGATCGATGCAAATAGAAAATGATGGCTAAAGAATTTAAAGGCAGTAAAAATGGAATCCAATTCTAGGAAGTCAACGCAATACAGAATGAGGAGTGAATGGATTCATAAAATGATATGAAGCGATTCCTTTATTATTAATAAAGGAAACTTTTCAAGAATAACAGACACCCTAGCATCACTTTCAAAATGACCACACTTGGAAAGGTTGAAGTATGCAGGAAACTATGAATAAATAGTTTAACAACATTGAGAAAAAGAATCTAATTGAAGTATTCCATGACAAGAAACTAATTGCGGGGATCCAAAGAAATGGAGAGTTGTAGATTAACCATGGGGAGTGAACAAATTGATATAAAGTAAAACCCTTTCCCCAAAACTCAATTCCTTAATCCTTATAGGGAAATTTAATCTCCCGTTAGAATTGCAACATTTCAAGATTTGCCATTCATTGAAATATTGTAATGTAATTATATACCTTTATGGCCCCCGTAATGATAAGCTGTGTCCCTAAAACTGGTCTCATAAACCGCCTTAGCTGAGTCTTTTTTGTTGGCTGAAGATGCTTCCAAGGCTAAGGCTTTCAGATCTTTTCCACAGCCTCACCTACACTGTTTCAAAATTTAAACTATCATGAGTGAAACCGACATAAAAAACTAATCTAAAACTTGAACGCTATCACAGACATCTAAACCATACATTGTCGGAGAAGATAAAAACAAAGAGATTAAGCCAGCATTGTCAAAGAAGTAGTGGGGAATTGAAATCTAGACCATACGTACCTGAAGACCAACATAGCAAAAGCGAAGGTTCGGTGAAGCATTAACATTTGAAATCTGGTCGGAATTCACGCTAAAGATGAGGCACAATTTCACCTTGCTCGCCTGATTTACATTCGCAGATTTCAACCAGAAAGAAGCAAGACTGAAGAAGAAAAGAAGTCAAGAAAACAAGAGACGATGAAGCAACAAAAACTACACATGACAACCCACGTTCCATAGCTCCACTACCAAAAGCATGCACATATATAACCGCACACAAACTCACGGCTGCCAATATGGCCTAAGAAGGTGCACCACAAGCTTAAAACTACGTGCTGCCAGGAACCCTTATAAAATATCATTAACAATATTATTAATAATTAATAATTAATAATTAATAATATTATTAAATGGAGACCATGCTGATGTGGCGCGCAGTGGATCTAGCTTTTTAAGCCCTACCCCCTACTTTACATTCATATATTACTAAAAGGAAATTTTGACTCTTATTTATTTTTTTAATTTTATTAAGCTAAAAAAATCACGCCAAAGAAAAAATAAAACAATAAAAGCGAGATCTTAAGAATGGAATGTGGAATGGAGAAGTTCGGCTTGAGTTCTTTGCACAAAGTGGGAACATTTGGGAGAAGAAAAGGGATATTGTAATAAAAGAGTGTGGAGTCTACCCCATACATCACTACCAAAAAACATGTGATTAGCGACGGAATTTACTGACAAAATTAGCGACGGATTAGTGACGAATTAGTGATAGAATCATATTACTGACAGAATTAGCGACGGAATTGGTTCTGTCGCTAATTTTTCCATCACTAATTGAATTACCAATGGAATTAAAATTCCGTCAGTAATTACTGACAGAATTGAAATTCCGTCGCCAATTACTGACAGAATTTTTTCGTCTCTAATTACCGACGAAATCCCAATTCTGTTGCCAATTCCATCAGTAATTACCGACGGAATTTAAATTGTGTTGCTAATATATTTTTTAAAAAAAAATTAAAAAGCCACCTCACCTTCGCTGCCACATGTTACCTCACTTTCACTGCTATGTGTCGCTGCCACATCAGCTCCGCTGCCACATGTCCTTGCCACCTCACTTCTGCCACCACGTGTCGCTATCTCACATGCCACCTTGTATTGTTACATGTCGCCATCATAATAATTCCTCTTCAAAGTGAATTCTCCATGGCTCGAACCAAAGACTTCGTTTGTGCACACACACGACTTTATCAATTGAGTAGCAATGAACTTACTAACTTATTATACAAAATTATATATATATAATATTCTCTTACACAAATAATTATATATACACATATATATTATTAGAAACTAAAAATAAATTATATGATAATTTTAATCA